GCAATCTGTAGTCACTTAATTGTTGATGTACACTTTTGTTTGACTTTCCCACTAGACTGCAAGCTCCCTGAAGACAGCACTGTGTGCCTGATCCACTGTGGGATCACCAGCGCCTATTATAATGGCTGGCACATAGTGGCCACTCAGTCAGTGTTGGACAAATACATGAAATGTGTGCACCTGTATCGCAACCCTCAGCACTGGCTACAAATTAAAATGACTTCAGAGAGGTTAGAGTAAAACAGCAGTGCCCAAGCCCCACCCCCAGAGACTATAATTTAATTAATATGTGGGACCTGAGATCAGTAGTTTTAGAAAGTTCTTCAGATGATTCTAATGTAGAGTCAAAGAAGAGAATCACTGCCCAAAATGAACCATGGGGGATGATGAAGGTATTCCTGAAATCCTGCCTTGGGAAAAAGACTTCTCGGCATCAGTTTATAAATGACAAGATGAGAAACAGCAAATTGGCTGACTTGCATGGGTTTCATGCAACAATGATAATGGTCAGAAATATTATATGGAGAATGCTGAGGAAAACGAGCTAAACTGGAGGCTGTGAGACTGGAAGAGATGTCTGGTTCGGGAGGCGACAGAATATGAAGCCATAAGTATGAGTGACTGTGTGACTGAAGCCATTGCTGGCCTGGTCTATGGGCTTTCTTTCTTTCTTTCTTTCCTTTTCTACCTCCAGGATCTGGCATGCACATTGGGAGACATAAGGAGATGCCCATAGCAGTACTCTGAGTAGTACGGAAAGTTCCATATAGACGGTTGGGAGGACTTCTTTTCGCTTCCCTTTCCTTTCCCCCTTTTACATGTCTCAGGATGCCAAGTCTTGGGTGCCCATCCAGCAGGGAAGTAGACAGTTGAAGAAATGACCGTAGAATGACTTCAGCACCAGGATAGGGGGAAGCTTAGGGAACCTGGATGTGCATGGGGTAAAGAAAAAGAGAAAAGAGGTCCAAGGAGGAAACCATTTTTCTTCTCTGTTGATGGTGAGCATGGCCACTGGGGCCACACACACTGGCAAGAGAAACAAGGGAGGAGAACCAGTCAGTGGAAGAGAGCTGACCTCTGGGGTCTCTTAATGGAATGTAACTCATACCTGAAATAAAGGACCCCTAATGCAGTCTCTGGCCTCTGAGTATGTGATACATTGGCTCACATTTAGAATGTTTGGGATAAGGGCTACAAAACCCAACCCTTACACCATTGGGGCTTAGAGCCAGGGTCTGCATGAACATTACAACTGTGAATACACATTTCAAAAGTTCCAAGGGCTTCTGGGTACCATATGAGATTTAGAGGGAATGAGGAAGTCTATGATTCCAAAGTGACCTGTTTATCCCCAGAGGTCACAAACTGTCAGTCCATCTGACCCTCAAACATGTTTTCTTGTCATAACAGTTTTTATTGAGTTATTGAACATCTTGATATTTAAAAATAAATATTGGGGGCTAAGAAAAAAAACACTGGATGATCTAAAAACACTGGGCCTTTATCCTCTGCAAGACATAGATCTGGAGCAGGCTCCTTCCCTTCCTTTCTCCCCTTCTCTTCCTTCCCCCTGATTTACAAATCTTTACTGAGCCCATGCTTTTTTTTTTTTTTTTTTTTTTGAGACAGAGTCTTGCTCTGTTGCCCAGGCTGGAGTACAATGGCATGATCTTGGCTCACTGCAACCTCCACCTCCTGGGTTCAAACGATTCTCCTGACTCAGCCTCCTAAGTAGCTGGGACTACAAGCATGTGCTACCACACCTGGCTAATTTTTGTGTTTTTAGTAGAGATGGGGTTTCACTATGTTTGGCAAGATGGTCTTGATCTGTTGACCTTGTGATCTGCCCACCTCGGCCTCCCAAAATGCTGGGATTACAGACGTGAGCTGCCTTGCCCAGCCGAGTCCATGCTTTTACAACAAATTCGAAGGTGGGTGAGACAGAATAGAATGCAGCACAGGGCGTGATCATTCCTGCATATATTTGTGTGCTCAGGTTCTCCTTGCATTAGAGCTGGCCAAAGGCAGAGATAAGATCTGGGATTTGGATTAAATTCTATATTCTCTGAGTCATCTTGCTTTTCAAATGCTGTTAGTTTGGTCGTCTGTCAGAACTGTCAAATAATTTGTCTTCCAAATGGGCTGTGCTTCAGAATTTCATTCAGCAGCTGGAGTGCTAGCCGGCTGTGCTGCTAATAAGCTGTTGCGTCTCACCTTCACTCCAGCTTTGCTTTTCTCTGCTTTATGATGCCAGGTCAAGACTCCCCAAACTAGTTCTGCCTTGTCAGCTGCTTTCTGCCAAACGTGAGCACCAGGGGGAGAAGGAAGACAAGGCAAGAAAAGGAAAGGGAGGAGGTCCCGTGCCTTCCACTTCACTTGTAGTTCTCCCTGGTGGCAGCAACTGGGAGTTTCCAACCCTTTTCCACGCTCACAGAAACCCCTCAAGGCGTCCAGCACCAAGTCCTCAAGGTCTGAGACTCAATGCTCTGGGGTCTCTTCTCAAGCTTCTAGGTTCTGGCAATGCCAAACTTTTTTTTTTTTT